AGAAAGAACTGTTTGCTAAGGAAAGCAGGTGTGAGCCAAGAGTAACCCAAGCCATCCAGCGACCTGACGTCCGAAAGACGGGCGGATAGCAAGGGCGGCAAGTGCCAGGGAGCAGCACCCCGGCCGCAGCGGGGGCACCCTCTTTCCAGCGCCTAAAAACTCAGCCCCGAGAAGACAGATGGTTTGGACCGGCCGATGAAACCGGCCACGGTCCGCTGGAGAGGGAGACATGACTAGATTGGGAGGAAGGTCCAAGAGAGGACAAAGCAGGCTTGTTGGTGACTTGGTTTTGAACTCACCTCTGGGAGCAGCCGTCCGCACTCTGGAAACCCAAGTGTGTATTTGAACGCAGGAAATTATGCGAACATGTTGGTATTCAGTATTTCCTGCGTACTTGGCCATGTATTCAGTGTTTGCCGTGTACTTGGTTAAGTACGCAGGAAGTACTGAATACATGAGTAGGTACACAGATCACAAGGGATACCTGGGTCGACACCACAGTATTAGTGCGGAAAGTAATAATTTTTAATGAAATGCTGATGGTCATACTAAATATGATTCAAAGTAAATTAATTGCTATAGAAACCTACACAAATTTGTAGTAATATAGCATAGATGCTCTTCTTGCAGTTTCTAACAGCTTCTGATTCTTGCTTTCAATATATTCTATGTCTCTCAATAAGTTGCGACTGGACGCCGAACAGTTCAGCAAACCAAGAGAATAGAGTCTTTATTTGTATGGAAGAAAATGCCTCCCCTCTCTAACTGTTTTTAGCCCGCCCTTCTGCTTTGAAAAAGCTATCCAGCGGGCTTATGCAAACGACCTTGTGTGTGTCTGTCTGTGTGTCTGTGTGTCTGTGTGTCTGTCTGTCTGTCTGTTCCACTAGAAGGAGATGTGCTAGAGACTTGAAATTTTCAGGATATCTTAAGATCCACTCCTAGAGAACGAAACGCCTACGGCAAATCCTGGCATGGCAACCACCCCTAAGGGTGTGAATGGGGGTATCCAAGGTTCAAAAATTCTCCCCAAAAGTAATTTTTAGCCCGCCCTTCTGCTTTGAAAAAGCTATCCAGCGGGTTTATGCAAATGACCTCGTGTGTGTCTGTCTGTGTGTCTGTGTGTCTGTCTGTCTGTTCCACTAGAAGCAGATGTGCTAGAGACTTGAAATTTTCAGGGTATCTTAAGGTCCACTCGTAGAGAACGAAACGCCTACGGCAAATCCTGGCAACCACGCCTAAGGGTGTGAATGAAAGTAGCCAAGGTTCAAAAATTCTCCCCAAAAGTATTTATTAATTATGTTCTCCGAAGGAGTAACTCGACAAAGTAGAGTCCTTAGGACGAAAATTTCGTCCGTTTGGCTCTATATCTAACCGTTTAGGCGCTAGATGGTCTTTTTTGACGAAAATAAGGTAAAAATTGCCATAGTGAACAATAAGTTGCAAAAAAAGGCTTAAAAACCACAAACTAGAAAGGAAACTCTCCCCCCACCCCCAAAACACGATTTCTAAGCAGAAGGGTGGGTTGCAGTCGCAGTGCTTCACCGTTACATCTCTTTCTCGAGTCTTTGGGGCAAACTCAAAGACGACGGGTTTCAGCGGGCCGAAGGCCTGCTACATCATTCGATCATCTTCTTCAGCAAATCGCGTGACAGAAATGGTCGGGCTGCAGGCCCGACCATCGCCGCCGGCAGGCCAAGCAGGCCCGGCCCCTGCCGAACAGAGTTGCCGGCGGAGCGAAGCGGAGCTGGCAACTTCGTTTGGCGGAAGGGCGGGCCTCCGTGTTATTAATTTATTTTGTTGTGTGCATTTTGCAACTCAATCAACTCACCATATCTCTCCTAACCTCTGCATTGCAAGGGCTTCCTGCAGTCTTGATTCATGCGCCAAAGTTAAACCATGTTTTTGTAGACAGATGTTCTGGGTTGTGTTGACTAAAAGACACCATTTCTTTGGATGATAAGGGATAGCCAAACCACAGTTTCTTATCAAGTATGATTGGTTGTTAGTCAGTAATGAAAGTGATATGACTCAACGGATTTAAAGAACAGAAACATTGTCTTCTGCTCTACTCCAACTTGAGAAAAACAGCAACAGGCCGATATGAGAAATTCATCAACACTAGCGCGGAGTGCGAATAATTACTCCTCTAGTATTTTTACTCGAAGCGAAATTACGTTGATAAATTTCTCATGTCGGCCTGTTGCTGTTTTTCTCAAGCTGGAGTAGAGCAGAAGACAATGTTTCTGTTTTTCAAATCCATTGAGTCAGTTCACTTTCATTACTAACTAACAACCTGTCATACTTGTTAAGAAAGTGTGGTTTTGCCATCTCTTAACAAGTGTGACTTGTTGTTAGTTAGTAATGAAAGTGAAATGACTCAATGGATTTGAAAAACAGAAACATTGTCTTCTGCTCTACTCTAGCTTGAGAAAAACAGCAACAGGCCGATATGAGAAATTTTTTAACGTAATTTCGCTTTGAGTGGAAATACTAGAGGAGTAATTATTCGCACTCCGCGCTAGTGTTGATGAATTACTCATATCGGCCTGTTGCTGTTTTTCTCAAGTTGGAGTAGAGCAGGAGACAATGTTTCTGTTCTTTAAATCCGTTGAGTCATATCACTTTCATTAATGACTAACAACCAATTAAACTTGTTAAGAAACTGTGGTTCAGCTATCCCTTATCATCCAAAGAAATAGTGTCTTTCAGTCAACACAACCCAGAACATCTGTCTACAAAAACATGGTTTAACTTTGGCGCATGAATCACCCAGACGGTAAGGACAACGGAAATACTAGGTTGAAAGTATGTTGAGAGTCGGTTACAAGTTGGTTTTTTCGATTTAACCGTGTTTCAGTCGTGTCTTAACTAAGAATAGTGCGTTGTGAGTCGGTTACGGAAACCAATTCTCAACCGACTTTTCTTGGCGGTACGTAACGCATTCCTCACCGCGTCCCAACACACAAAAGTGAGTT